GAGGAGGGGCGGCTCTGCGTGCGCGCGCCGGCGCCCCCATTGCTGCTGTGGGGGTCGTGCGTGCGCGCGGGGGTCTGCTGCTGCAGGCCCGGTCTCGAGGAGTGGTGGGGGACTTCACGCCACTGCACATCCAGGTGCCGTCCTCCGAAGGAGAACAAAAATCATAAACATAAATTTCTGGCGCTCCTCGCGGATGTCTTGGATTCGCGCTGGGGCCGCCCAGCGGCGCCTCCGGCGCCGCCCCTGGCGAGCTCCGCGCGCTAGGGAGAGGGGTCCAGTGCGAATCCAAGAAATCCGCGCCGAGCGCCACAAGTTAATGTTTATGCTTCTTTTCTTTTTCTAGTCCTGGAGCGTGGTTGGGGAAGCACCAAGCTCGGCGCAGGCTGCACCTGCCAGGAAAAAGGAGGAGGAGCAAGAGAGAGGCAAAGAAATGGGACGACCCGAATTTGACGGCCTGCCAGGACTCACGGGCATGTGCCCTGGGATGTCGACTCTTCATCTCATCGCCGAGACTCCCAGGAAAGAGCCCGAGAATATGGAAAGTGGGGTTTACTGTAAAGTCGGGCGTACCCCTTTACAGCAGGACTATTCAAAAATAGGGTCAAAAATAGTCCGGGGGCGATTTTCTGATCACTTTCAAGTACATTGGAATATTGATTAGCTTTTACAAGATGTTTCGCCCCAGCTCCCCCTGTAGGGAGACCCGCCCGGCTTACGTTGACTGCGGTCTTGGCCTTGATCCGTGAGCATCGCTCTCTTTCCCTTCGACGGTGTCCCTCGGTGAGACCGCCCCCTGCGCCCCTCGAGGCAGAAGCAAGTCTTCACACGCATATACGCTGAAGTCGGGCCTGTCGGCCTGTCCCTCTACTCGGGGGCGGCACCGGGCCCTCGATGTTTCGTTGTCCCTGTTTGCTCGGGTCGGTCCCTCGCTCGGCTCTGTTCGGGTCCTGGTCCGTCCCTCGCTTCTTTCGGCCCTTCTTCGGGCCCCTCGCTCGTCGTTTCGGCGCCACGGGCAGGAGTGTTCGGCAGACGATCACCCGCGCGCAAATCAAAAAAAAGGGGGGTGATGACCAGGGGTGGGTGGGTATCATGGCGGGGGCCATGATATTTCCTCAGATTTCATGGCGCCTCCTCTCATTTCATTACGTCCCTGGCCTCCCCGCTGGGCCGCGCACGTGCCGCCAGTCATGATTTCCCCCCCCTCTTGGCCGCTCCCGATCTACAGGAGGAGTATTCGGGACGATTTGTTCTACTATGTTTGAGCATCTGGGGCGTATGTTTTGAGTATTCTTCGCTCGTCGTCCAAAATCCGCCTGTAGGAGGACTTGCCCGACCTAAACATACACTTTCAGAGCTGCGCGCGGACTTCTCGAGTCGGCACTGCAGCCCCCTAGCGGCGCCTCTGGTGCCGCCCCTGGCGCGCTGGACCCCCCTCCATGGCGCGCTCCGCACGCCAATGGAGGGGGGTCCAGCGCTGATCCACGATATCCGCGCTGAGCTCCGAAGTTGTCAGGTTCATCTAGTTACTCAGGGCGTGGATTACCTACCCCGCTTTCGCTTCCAGGCAAAACCAAGCCATACCACGCGCCTCCTCGTCAAGCGGCCTGACCAGTACAGGCTGCAATTTGGCATCGTTTGGTATCTCTTGGAAGCGAGGGTTGTCAAAAGCGAGGTAGGTTTGTTTCCCCCCTAGTTACTTCTGATTCGAATCCCGTGCGGGTCCAATCGAATGTCCAGCTGTGCGCCGCATGGACACGCCGGGCCCTGAACGAACGGTGCTCCTCGGGCTGGGACTTAGAAATCCAGCGAGGGTAGCAAGGAGGCGATGATGGGTTCAGGGTCAGGGAGACGATGCAGGACGAAATTGAAGATGTTGATTATAATCGCGGGGGCCATCGGCAATAGCATCATGCGAGTTAGCTTGTGGATGAGATGTGTAATGCCAGGTCTTCGGGGCGATTGAACATGGAAATGCTCGGGAAGTTCGAGAAGACCGCGCAGGAGTGGCTCCATTCCCGCGTCGCCTTCGCGAAGATAGACACGGACCCGCGCGGTGGGAACACATTGAAGCGCAATATTGTGCAAGTTCTTACCAGACCGGCATACATATGAGGCGGTGTTTATATCATGGGTCGTGCCGCGTTTGTTGGATTTTGATTGGATCTGCGTGATGTGCTCTATTCGTTATGCTTTATTGTTGCGGCTTGCTGACCACTGCTTGCCGTTGTCATGCTTGCAGTTGATGCCAAGTTGGCTTTTTGGCATCCAGACCTCATCGGCGCCGGGGGCTAATTTCAGAACGCGGTACCAGCTCTCCCGAACACAATACAAACATACAACATCAGGAGTGATTGCGTGATCGGATTGGACCGTGCCTCAAAATGGACATCAGCTTGCTTGTCCGCGACACTCACGGTTTCGTGGCGATGTTCCCTCCAGCTTCGGTGTGCAGATCGACCCTCGCAGTTGTTCCAGTCGTTCTTCCTGTTCCGTTTACTCTTGCGCATGCTCACGCTTTATTATTTGCACGCTCGGTGATGCTAGATTATAGATGTGAATTTGGCCCAGGCCGAACAATTCGATCCCGCCTTCCCCCGGGGCGCACCGGCGTCGTCTCCCGCCATGTCCTCGGGCGCCGTGCGCGTGCGGGTGGAGCAGGCAGGGCTCCCCGGGCTCCCGGAGGGCGCCTCCCCCGAGCAGGTCGCGGCGGCGCTGCTCGCGGCCCTCCGCGCGGCGTTCACCGTCTGCTGGGAAGCGAGGCTGGCCTGCGGGAGCCTGGTGTCGCTGTCGGCGGACCTCGGGGGCGACTGCTGCGAGTGGCCCCCGCGGGAGGTGCGCCTGCGCGTGGCAGGCCCCGCGGCGGGCGAGGGCCCCGAGGCCGCCGCGGCGGAGCTGCAGGTGCCCTCCCGGGCGCTCCGCGGCGAGCAGCTGGGCCTCCTCCTCGGCGCCGGGCTGGACCTGCGGGGCCCGCCGCGGGCGGAGGCCCCGCCGCGGTGCGACGCGCTGTGCTCCGCCCCTGGCGAGGAGCTGGTCGACGCCGACCCACGCAGGGGCATCGCGCAGCCCAGGTGCCTGCCGCAGTGGCACCCCGGCGCCTGCGGGCACTGCGCGCTCTTCAGCGTCCGCTGCCTGCTGCAGCGCTTCTGCGGGCCCTGCGAGGGCGCGCCGGCCGGCGCGCCCGTCGGCCTCCACGACGAGCCCGCGCTGTGGCGCGGGGCGCTCGCCGACGTCGGTGCGCTGGCCGACCTGGGCCGCCGCTCCGGCAGGTGGCCCCGCAGCCGCGTCCTGGGCGGCGTGCTGGACGAGGTGCACGTCGCGGAGCTCGTGGGCGCCGACGGGTTCCTGTCGCGCCGCGTCTCGGTGGTGACGAGCCCGGACGTGCTGAGCCCGGGCGAGCCGGGGGCGCCCGCCCTGGATGCCGCCGCGGTGGCGGCGGGGGCGGCGGCGCGGCGGGCCCTGGCCGCGGTGGCGGCGGGGGCGGAGCCGGCGCACGGCTTCCTGCTCGCTTGCTCGATCCACTGGATCGGCCTGGTGGTTGTCCACGAGGGCCCGTCCCGCATCTGGCTCTGCGACTCCTTCAACCGGCCGTTGGCGGGGCTGCAGCACCCCGAGCAGGTGCCGGAGCTCGCGGCGCAGCACGACGGGGAGGGGCGAGCGGAGGCCTTGGCGTCGCTGCGGGCGCTGGCCGCGTGGCGCCACCGCCCCGAGCAGCACCTGGAACAGGCCCTGAAGGAGGGCGTCCCGGAGTGGTGGAAGGGGGCCAAGCGCTCGTCGATGTTCTGGAGGCACCAGCCCGAGGAGGTGCGCCGCGCGCTGCGGGAGGGCGAGCTGAGTGCGCTGAGACATTACCTGGAGATCTTCACGGATGCGATGGGGCGGGAGCCGTAGCCGCTCAGCTGCCGCTTCCTTTGGTTCCCCTCTTTCCTCCTCCGCCTCGGCGGATCACTCCGGCGCACGTGCGTTCCCAGTCAGCAAACCGAGCCCAGCCCGTGTGTGTACAGCCGGCGCGGGCGCGGGCGCTCTCGGGGCTCAGGGCCACAGCGGCTCTGAGATCTCCGATCGCGGAGGCGCCCTCTTGCGGCTGGCAGGCGCCCTTGGAACAAAAAGCAGACCCATGCATGCGCATCGGTGGGGGGAGGGGGGCCAAGTGCCCTGCAGGTGCGCTTGCCCGAGTCCGAGGTGGCACGCCTTCGTTGCTCTGGCCCCCATCCTCCTGGCCCGCCTCGAGGAGGAGGGTGGAGGAGGAGGAGGAGGAGGAGGAGGAGGAGGAGGAGGAGGAGGAGGAGGAGGAGGAGGGGGAGGGGGAGGAGGAGGAGGAGGAGAGGAGGAGGAGGGGGGGGGGGGAGGAGGGAGGAGGAGGAGGAGGAGGAGGAGGAGGAGGAGGAGGAGGAGGAGGAGGAGGAGGAGGAGGAGGAGGAGGAGGAGGAGGAGGAGGAGGAGGAGGAGGCGAAGCCGCCTCGTCGGCTCCGCGGGCGCGGCCCCCGCCCAGCCCATGGCGGTGCCCCCTCGCGCCCGTGCTCGCGTCGCCGGCGCCTGCCTCCCGCGCGGCGCCGCCCGGCCCCCCCCCCGCCCCTGCGCAGCGGGCGTTCGCGCAGGACCGAGACAAGGCGATGGCGGAGCCCAGCGGCGGCTCTCTCTCTCTCTCTCTCTTTCTCTCTCTCTCTCTCTCTCTCGGTGTTTGTTTGTGTTTTTTTTTTTTTTCTCTCTCTCTCTCTTTCTCTTTCTGTTTAGTTTCCTTTCTTTTTTTGTGTCTATCTCTCTCTCTGTCTATCGCTCTCTCGCTCTCGCTCTCTCTCTCTCTCTCTCTCCCTCTTTTTCCCGGGGGGCACACCGTGAAACAGACACGAATTTTCGGTGCTTCATGCGAATTGCCTCTGACGCCGCCCTTGGCGCGCTCCGCGCGCCAGGAATGGGGGTCCAGCGCGATCAAAGAAATGCGCGCGAACATCCGAAAGGTTATGTGGATGCCATCAGTTGTTCCCCGATCGGTCTCTCTAACTCTCTCTCGATCACTCTCTCCCAAATTACCCATCGGTCGTTGAAAGTAGGTATTCTTGGATTCCCAGAGTCCAATCTGCTATAAGCGCCTTCCTACTTCAACGATCGAGTGGCTTCACTGGTTCCGTCTCCTTTGGGAGGCGGGGGGACACCCAGTCTACGTTCAACGCTCTTCTGCTTCCTGTTTCTGCCTGCTTCTTCCGACCGATGGGTGTCTTGTTCTGCCAACGCGAATGTAGCAACACTCACGCGCAGCAATGTTTTTTTCGCTAGCTCTGGCAGCACTTTGGGTAACACTGCCTGTGCCCGCGCTTCCTTAGCGGGTTCGAGCCTCACGCCGCATTCATTTTGGTTCAGGGCTCGAACCCGCTTAAGGAGGCGAGGGTACAGGCAGTGTTACCCAAAGTGCTGCCCGAGCTAGCGACAAAACCATTGCTGCGCGTGAGTGTTGCTACATTCGCGTTTTGATTGCGAAGGCTTGACGGCTGGTGCCGCCGACCCTGAAAGACATCGGCGACGATCAGGAGGGGGAGGAGGAGGAGAAGGAGGAGGATGAGGAGGAGGCGGAGATAAGGAGGAGGAGGAGGAGGAGGAGAAGGAGGAGGAGGAGAAAACGCAGGAAAAGGACTCCCCCCTGGGCCCCCCCCCCTTGGAGGAGGACGGGAGTCGCGCTGTGCTTTCTCCCTCGTCGCTCCTCTCCGGGGGCGCCCGGGGGCCTCGCCTCCGACGCGCGTTTGCCGAACCCCTCGGGGCTTCATAGGCCTCGGGGCTTCATAGGCCTCCTCCTCCTCCTCTCTCCTCCTCCTCCTCCTCCTCCTCCTCCGCCTCCGCCTCCTCCTCCTCCTCCAGACTTAAATTTGGGGATGGACAGACCTCCTACCCTGACGCGTCGATTCGCGAATTGGCCGTTTTCGGTTCGCGAGAGGGCTTCGCGGCCGTCGTTGTTGCGGGTCCAGGTTCGTTGCTTTCGGTCCCAGGCCGTTTTCACTACAGGATTGTTCACCAAAGGGAGGGAGAAGAGCACTTCTTTGTTCCGTCGGCGGCGAGGCGGCGAAATCCGCTCCAGCGTGAAGCTAGATAGGGGCACTGACCAGCGAACTGGCCGGCGAGCAGAGGGGGAAGGGGGGCGGCCGAGAGGAAGGAGGGGCGCTCAGACGCCGAAGAGTTCCACGATGTGATGATGGCCTGGGAAAGGGTCCTTTCAGCATTCCAGATAAGTACCCCACGATCATTGTCTTTCTGGGCAAGCAAGAAGGGGAGGGCCTCAGGCCTCTGGCGCTCATCCTGTCGCTTTTCAGGTTCTGGGGCCGTGTCAGGCAGTGTGAAATGAGGGCCTGGGAGGCCCAGCATCGTACGCCGTTCTTTTGGGGCTCCAGGGACAAGGAGTGCGACCGTGCTGGCTGGCAGCATGCAGTGATTGCTGAATTTGCGCGAGCTAAAGGCTTCGAGTCGGCCACCCTGTGCAAAGACCTCGAGAAGTTTTATGAGAGAGTCGCTCCTGGGATCCTGTTCGATGAAGCCAAAAATAGTGGGTGTCATCTGGGCCTTACGGTTTGTGCGATTGCTCTGTATACGGGGCCCAGGGCCATCGATTTCTCTGGAGCGACGTCGGGGGTTTTTCGCACGACGGGCACCATACTGGCTGGCTGCAGTTTGGCGACCTCATTCGCCAAGATTGTCTTGTACCGCGTCCTGTGCAGTTTGGCGCAGACCTTCCCCTCCCTGTACATTAGGAACGTCGTTGACGACGTGTCGCTGCAGCTGCTGGGCACTGCCAAGTTCGTTGTAGAGAATCTCTCAGCAGCGGGCATCCAACTAAGACAGGGGTTTGATGACTTGGAGTTGGTTGTCTCGGGGAAGAAAACGGTCTTCTTGGCGTCGTCTCAGGAAGTTTCAGGAGGCCTCCAGAAAGCTTGGAAGCATCTGAAGTACACGATGAAAGAAGTGGTCAGGTCTCTTGGTTGCGATGCCGTATGCAGAAGGATTCGTAGGAATGTGACTTCACTAAAGCGTCTACGAGGTGCAGCTCGGAAAGCTCGAAGGCTCTGGAAACTTAAAGTGGCTGGTGCGGAAATAAGTAATGTGTACAGAGCGGGGCCTCAAGCGGGAGCTCTATGGGGTACTGCGGTTGCGGGCCTTACGGCAAGCCAAGTACACACACTAAGAGTAGCTGCGTGCAAGAGTTTGTCAAAGCATAAAGCTGGTGCGATCACATCATACAAACTACGTACGCATGATAAGGGCAGAGCTATGGACCCGTACATCCTGTACCATGCCAATGTAGTACACGAATGGGCGCGTGCAATATGGGATGGCACACCTCCGTTGTATGTGATGCAGTATGTGTTCGAGCTTGCGGTGGATGCAATGGCTTCTACGCGCAGGCCGTGGCTGAGCGCAACATCGCCTGCGCACGTCTTGCTGCTCACGCTGTCGGAAATAGGTTGGCGGCCAGTCAGTGCGAGGATCTTGCTGAAAGCGGACGGTGGGAAAGTTGACCTCCTCCAGCTTGCCCCGCTGTCGGTCAGGGATCTAGCGGAAAGAGATGCAGGACGCAGGGCTGATGTGAAAGGGTTGAAGTGTCGGCCGTGCCTCAATAAGTCGTGGGTCCGACCTGTGTTTTGGGAAGGGGCCTTGAAGGTCATCAACGGGGCCAAAAATGAGGTTTGGCATGACCACCATCAAGCGCGTGCTCGAAATTGTTTCTCCATGGGAACCTGGACGCAACAGAGACTATGCGATCAGCACCTTGCTCCAGACAACGTGTGCCGACTCTGCTTAGGTGCCCCAGGAACCCTATTCCACAGGAGATTCGAGTGCTCCGCGTTCGATGCTGACCGTCGGGAGCACCTCAGCGAGGAGACCAAGCACGCAGCCAGATTAGCATGCGAGCTCGGTCAAGATCTCGAGAAGTTTGCTGCAGGGCTGATGCCAGATCCGCGTGCGATCACGACCCCAGCGTTATCGACCAGTGAGTGCCAAGTGTGTTGGTTTAATAAGCCAGCTAGTGGAATGTTGTCGGGTCACCTCTTCACTGATGGATCGGCCCTCGACCCCACCTCTTCCAGGTTCCGTCGAGCTGGATGGTCGATCTGTGCTGTGTCCGCTAATGGTGACCTCATCTCTGCTGCGTATGGACCAGTGCCATTACAGGTGGCGCCGTTCCAGCAGGCACGTGACGGGGAAGATTTTGCGTATGTGATGCTGGCTGATTTAGCTGCGGGTAGTTTTGAAACCTACACGGACTGTGAAGGGACCCTGGGGTGCGTCTGTGATCGACATGGATCGATTGGCTCGAGTAATCCCAGGGCCCACATGTGGTCGCGTGTTTGGCATGTTTTTGAGGATGGAATCGTGGCCCACAAAACGCTGGGGCACGCCACGATGAATGATATTCTTGAGGGCCGAACCACTGCCTTCGAGAGGCAAGGGAATCGGCACGCAGATAGGTTTGCTAAGCTTGGCGCGTCCAAGCATCCTGACGTCTCTCAGGCAAAGGAGCAAGTAGGGGCCCTCCAGAGACTCCAGGAGGAAGTAATTCGGTGGGGAGGGGTCCAGGATGTCCTCATGAACCAGCGTTCGTGGTCGGACACAACTGGCTTCCCTGAGCCCACTGGAGTGCAGGATGGCCTGGCCCCTGCACCAAACTGGCATGCGAAGGCCAAGGGACAGCGGGCCTTCGAGCGCAGGTCCTTGCAGGCGGCCGACCGCCTCGGAGTGAGAAGGACCCTGCTGAGTTTCAAATCTCCCCTTTTTTCAGACACGAAGGCTTGCGTTTCCAGTGCCAAAGCTGTTTCTGAGAGCCAAGCTCTCGTGCTCTTGCAAGGTCACAACCTTAGAATGTATAAGGTCTGGGACGGGGCGGGAGCTCGGGTGGCTGGGAGTGGTTGGGCCAGGGTGATGAGCTGTATCAGATGTGGGGGCTACGCGTGGGGCGGGGTAGACACGTTGTGCAAACCTTGCCCCATGCAGCCCCCCACGAAGGATTTGAAGCAACAGAGGAACCGTCCTTTTAAAAGCCTCTTCCCCAGCTGGGCCAAGCAGTACAGAGGGTGGCGAGTCAGCGACCAGAGAGCGCCGCTGCCATTCGACCTCCTGGCGCTGGTTCGAGCCACTAGGAGGGGTGTCCAAGTTTTGGAGGATATGGAGGCTGAGGACGGTGCTGTATTTGACTCCACATGGGGTGAAGCTTGGACGATTCCCGAGCTGTACTCCAAGTTCGGCTTGATGCCGCCAGCTGGTCAGGAGCCCCCCCAGAGGGGAGAGGAGTCGGACTAGCTCTGTTTTGCTGTTAGGGGTGTCTGGCATTGACAGACACTCCCAACGAGAATAGAATAGAATAAAGAGTTCCACGATGAGCAGCCGGGCGGGCAACAGCAGCTGGGCACAGGGAGAAGAACGCACAGAGTCGAAATCGTTCAAACGACCTCGCGCACGTGCTGTCGCAAGAATCCATGACAAACATTGGGGCGAAGTGCACGCGCGCGCGCCGTCGCGCGCGCATGCCGGAATCCATCAAAGACCGTGTGTGTCGCAAGGACTTCAAAAACGAGCGCCCCGAAAGCATGAAACACATGGCGCTACAATGGACTGTCGACTCACAGGAAGTATGGGGAACATGTGGCAAGTATGGGGGGCGTGGGAAAGCAAACCCAGAACACACGGGAAAGTATGGGGGACGTGGGAAAACGCTCCGTCGAGGCCTCGTGAGAGGGCTCAGGGATTCCAGGGCCGCCTTGTTGCCGCATTATTGAGCGCATGCGCCGGCGTTTCTGTATGTCTCCTCGTCAAGATCCGGCGGCAGTCGTTGTGGTTGCTGGTGTGGTTGTGTGTTGGGCCTTTCTGTGCGCCCGTCCGTCTGTGTGTCCGTCCGTCCGTTCATCAGTATGTCCGTCCGGCCGTCTTGCCCTGTCCTGTCTTGTCCGTTTGCATGTGTGTCCTGTATCAAGGTTTGTCTCTCTCTCTCTCTCTCTCTCTCTCTCCCTCTCTTTTTCTCCTAATGTTGTTGTCATATCCGCCTCTCCCACTCGCAGAATGGATCGGAGGAGGATGGTCCTGCAAGAACAACAATCGAGAACCAACAGGTTCAGGGCTGTTCATTCTCGAATGCGAAGGTCCAGAGGCACCACAGTCTATGCTTCTTGGAGGACAGGATGGGATGGAGCAGGAGAGGAAGGGACCGTGCCACAGACGAGGGCGAGCGATCCGAGCGGGCTTCCTGGTCGACGGCTACTGCCTTGCACGTGCAGCTGGCCACCAGATGCCGTCTCCCGCAGCTGCCGCCGTGTGCGTTGCCAGGAGAAGTGGATCAACCCGCACATGGTGCCGACGAACATCATGTTCCGTGACGGAGAGGGCGTGCCGGTGGCTCCCACACCCCACCGCACCCTTGTTCATCCTAGCGAACGGTACAGTCGGGGCCCTGAAGGAGGAACCCTTTTCGTTGGGGAGGGGCTCCGCGTTCCTTAAGTGTTTCACAGCTTGCCTCAGGCTTCCTTTATGTTTTCGACAGGAAATCGAAGGTTAACTTATGTAAAAAAGGGGCCTCGTTCCTTATGTTTCGTTCCTTAGGTCAAGGCCCCGGCTGTACCGCTTCTGGCTTCGAGCGCCCTCTCCGGTCGTTCTCGCCTCCTCCTGCGGCCGCCCTTGGCGTCTGGTCTCCTCGGGTGGGACTACAAGTAAGTCGGGCCTGTCCCCCTAGTCAAACAATAGTCTCGGGACCATTCTTCTAGTATTTCTTGACCATGTTGGAGTATTTTTGAATATATATATATTTTTGCGTTGGAAATCCCCCTGTGGGGGGACACGCCCGACTTCAGACTATAAATGACATGCTGCCGCCGGTAGCCCGTGAGCGTGCCACTCCTTCGTTTTTGCCCGAAGGCATGGATTCCCCATCGGTTTCTGGCTCGCCTGCCGGTGCCCCCTCTTAATTTGTCGGTTCCGTTCTTGTGGCTAAGTCGCTTGACGTCAGCTCACGGCGTTGTCGGATCCGATGGTCTCAATAGCTGAGCTTCGCCGAGACCCCAGAACACCTGCATCCGACCTCGCCTATCTGCTACACTCTAGGGCTCATTCCGACTCCGTCAGTTCGATTCGATTCGATTTCCCCGGGTGCCGTGTCGAACCAATCCGAAGCGGAGATTCCGATTCGGGATTCCGATCTCAAGTCCGCCCGATCCGACTCCTGCCGATTCGATGCGTCGGCCGATTCCTGCCGATTCTTGCTCCGCTCTGGGAGGCAGGATGGCACTGGTTCGATTCGTTTCGGTCCGGTTCGGCGTGCCGTCGGGTCGGTTCGTCCGGTCCGATTCGGCTGGTCCGGCTCGGCCCGTGCGGTTCCGCCGCTCCGTTCGGCCGCGTCGGCCCCGGTTCGCCCCGTTCGCCCGGCTCGGTGCGGCATCGGGCTGCGGTTCGGCCGGGTCGGTTGGGCCCGAAGTTCCCCGCAGAGTCCCGCAGTGCCCTGGAGAAGGCGGCGACTGCGGCGACGACGGCGCGCCTCGTCACCCTCCAAGCGGCCGGGAGCGAGCCAGGGTGCCAGGGGCCCCGCCCCGAAGGGGCCCCGAAAGGGGGGCCCCAAGGGGCCGCCAAGGGGCCCCCGAAGGGGCTCCCGAAGATCCTCTTCCGCCGAAGTAGCTTCCAAAGGGGCCCCGACGGGGCCCCGAGAGGGCCCTCTCTCCAGGCCTCTCCTGGACCGCTCCTCTGCCAAGCCCCGCCGCCTCCTGCCTGTGGGTGCGAGACCGCGCCCACAGGTGGACGACGTGGGCGACTTTGAGAGGCTCAAGAGCGAGTTCCACGCCAACCCGGAGGGTCAGAGGTGGTGGCTTACCAAGTGAGCCTCCCCCACAGTAGCAGAATGAGGAGGAGGGGAAGAGGCATGGGGAGGGGGAGGGGGACGAGGGGGGAAAGGAGGGCAAGGGGCAAATTTGGCGGGTGAAGGGCACAGGGAGGTGGTGGAGGAGGAGGAGGACGACGAAGAGGAGGAGGAGGAGGAGGAGAAGGAGAGAGAGGAAGGGGAGAGGAGACAGGAGGAGGGGTAGGAGGAGGAAAAATGAGGGCAACGAGGAAAATGAGGGGAGGAGGAGGACAACGAGAGTGAAGGGGACATCGCGGGCGACTTGGAGAGGCTCGGGGGCGTGTGCTGCGCCAGCTTGGAGGGGAAAGGGTGGCGGTTGACCGAGAGCGCCACCCCCCGAGGATAAACAAGGAAACGCGAGGGGAGAAGGAGGAGCGGGAGGAGGACCAGAGTAAGCCTAGGACTCATCAGCGATATTGGAATACACCCTCCCTCCAAGCTTTATCTTCATAGGCCCCTGCAAGGGTTCATTTCCACTGAGGGAATTGTCCCGTTGGGGGACAACCGTGTAAATCCCTGAATCGCGCACAAACACCATTCTCAGGACGTCAACGCCACGAGTTGGCCTGACTGTCTTGGCGACCCTGAATCGTGCCAGAACACCACTTCTGGGACTTAAGCACAGCGAGTCAACTTAACTGCTGCGCCCTGACAATCATGAATCGGTGCTGCACACCGTGCTTGGTACGCTAACAATGCGAAGTCATGAAACTGTTTCTAGCTTGTAGGACGAAGGTGCGAGGCGTTACGGCGGGAACCACAGTTTGAACAGGAACCGCGCTCGATACACGAATCTCTTGCAAACGGTTGAGACGAACGGGCGTGGCGTTTTAAGGCGAGAGCCACAGTTTGAGAACGAACCGCCCTCAATCCGTGAAGCTCCTGCACATGCTTTAGACGCATGCGCGCGGCGTTCAGGCGAGAGTCGCATTTTTGAAAACGGCACGTCCGCAGTCCGTGGAACTTCTGCACATTGCTAAAACGAGTGTACGTGGCGCTAGGGCGAGACACGCATTTTGAAAACCATCCGCCCTCAATCCGCAAAGCCCCCGCCAAAACCACCCGCCCTCCATCGGTGGAACTGTTGTCAATTTCGAAGCTCCAGGGTCACAAACGGAAAGGAATTCTCATGCGAAGCGCCCAGTCCACGGTTTCGACCGGCCTCGGGGTGCGACAGGGAAGAGTTATGTATTAGTTTATTCTGGAAAAGAATGGAAAGAGGAGGAGTGTGTTGGTCTGTCCCCAGGGGAGATCGCCGCCCCGACCAGGTCCGCCTCGCAGTCCTGGTCGTAGCGCGCTCCAGGAAAGGTCTTGGGGGGGCGGTACCCTCCTCATTCTCCTGCCCTCCTGCTGCTCCTCCTCCTTCTCCTCCGTCTCCTCCTCCTCCGTGGCTCGAGCAACATCTTGGCTCGCGTGGCCAGCTGGCCCTGCCCCAGTCCCCAGCTCCTCCGCCCGCCAGCCAATGTGCGTCATGGAGCGTGCCGCCTGCTTGGTGACCGCCTCACGCACAACGTAATCGACGGCGCGACGGAGAGTTCTCCAGCGATCTGCGGCACGTCGGGCGCAGTGTTCCGGCCTGAAGCTGTTCGCCACACTGCAATGCGGGCCTCCGCCATTTGTTGCTGCTGCTGGCGCGGCAGTTTGCGATGATGGAGTTCTCCCTGATCGCAGTCCAGGACCAGAACATGGAACTAATCACATTGTTATTGAGATTCCCTAGATGCGTGCCGCTGTTCTACGCTGACGGCCCATGCAGCCACTACTGGGAGCTCAACAGCCGGGAGTACGGCCTGGTGCAGTCGGCTTTCGAGAACCACCTCACGCCTGTGGCGGACAAGTTGCTGGGCGCTCTAGAGCCAGCCCTCAGCGTCAGCATCGACGCGGTCAAGAAAAGCCAGAACAAGGCAGGGAGTAAGGAGGCCATCGAGATTGGAGAGGTTCCTTTTGGCAGAGCGCCCGGCCCACGCGACGCAGGCTCCAGCACAGACAGACGAGGCTCCGCATACCACGATGATGATTGGATGAGGTCGTGAAGTTCGCGGGGGTGCCTCCGGACTCGAGCGTCCACGATGGCGAGAAGACCGAGGAGGCGCCGCAGGAAGAGCACGAGGAGATTGACAAGCTGAGCCCCGCCGTCGAGAGCAGCCGCAGTGAGAAGGGAGAGTCCCGGGGAGGACGATCGGCCGGCTACACGTAGGCGCGTGCGACCTTTCGCCGGGGTCTGCTCTCGGTGCGCGCGCCTCTCGGGAGATGCAGAAGGCCGAACCCAGGCACGCAGAGGCCGCTAATTATTGGAGAGGCCTGACGGCCGGTGCCGCCGACCCTGATCGAAAGGGCTAGGAGTGGGGGGAGGAAGCGGAGGATGAGGAGGAGAAGGAGGAGGAGGAGGAGGAGGAGGAGGAGGAGGAGGAGGAGAACCCAAGCACGCAGAGGCCGCTAATGATCCTTTCGCGCAGCACGCCTTCCAGCGGTCGGTGAGGCGTGCACACCAGCGGCCACGCGTGCCTCTAGGGTCACACTGGCATGTGGCCGAGCGGAAGGGCAGTGGCAGGAAGGAGGGAGGAGATGGCCCGGATTCTCGCGGTGCAGACACGGCTGGCTGAGGGAGGAGAGAAGGAGAGAGGGCCTCGCCATGGCGTCCGCTCCACCCTCCTCCCTCCCTCCCTCCCTCCCTCCCTCCCTCGTCCTCCTCCGTCCTTCCTCCTCCCCCCTCCTCCTCGTCCGCCTCCCTCCTCCTCCCCCCTCCCTCCTCCTCCCTCCTCCCCTCCCTCCTCATCGCCCTCCTCCCTTCTCCCTCCTCCTCCTCCTCCTCCTCCTCCTCCTCCGTAGCCACTTCGGCTCAAGATGCCCGCACTCGGGGGCTCCGCGCCTCCGTGCCAAAATCTGAGCTGCCAGAGCAGCACTGTGTTCTCGGTGATTTCGGGAGAATCGCACCGCCCAGCTGTCAGCGCAGCTAGGGTTAGAGCTCCCTATCGACCTGTCAAGCAGTCATGGCGCCGCGCCCATTATCCTGGTGTGCCTGCGGCAACTGGACATACAACTTCCGCCTGCTGCACAACGGCGGATTCTGTGGCAAGTGCGGGGAGCAGGTCACACTCTTCAAGCCTGACGCTGCAGCGGCGAAAGGCAACGGCAAAGATAAGAAAGGCATCCACAGCTACAAGGGCGGCAAGGGCGAGGACAAGTCGGCGTGGTACTACGGCAGCGGCAAAGGCACGCACCCGTGGTCCAAGGAGCCCGACATCTCGCAGATGCTCAACATCCTCTCGAATGTCCCCGCCCTCGCAGAGCACGCCGACGTGTTCCGCCAGGCTGACAACTCCTTCAAGGCGAGCAAGGCAAAGCCAGTATCGCCCAACCAGGAGGTCGACCGCTGCAGCCAGACCCTGGAGAAGAAGGAGGCGGCGCTTCAGAAGGCCTCGGCAGACGTCATCAAGCTCGAGACGGCTCTCCACGAGGCCAAGCTGTGGCTCCACCAGACGGCGGAGGAGACCCTCTCCGCAAAACGGGCCCACACTTTGGCGGTCAAGGCCCTCGCAGACTCCACGGGTGTCGCCAAGACGCAGGACGGCTACACTGCGGACGGCAAGAAGATATACCTCGCGATGGATGAGTTCGACTTCGCTACCAGCGACGAGTTCGATGACGCGCAGAAGGCCCAGCTCAAGGCCATCCAGAAGCAGGTGGAGGAGCACTGCAAGAAGGTGGAGGACCTCCAGAAGACGATGCAGGAGGCGCTCAAGAGCGTCAAGGAGATCCGGGCAGCCCCAGCGAAACGGCAGCGTGGTCAGGACGGTCCCGTCCCTGGTCCTGGCGCAGCAGAAGCTGAAGGCCCTGACGAAGACCAGGCACCTGCTGCGGAGGACGGCCCCACCATCGCCGTCTCAGAGAGTGACATCGCCGCCAAGATCGCGAGCGCCAGGGAGGCCACGCTGGCCAACATGGGCGACTTCCCTCCCCTGGGCACTGGCAATGGTGCTAGGAGCTCTCGTGACGGCGCGCCCAGAGCTGCAGCTGCGGCCGCGCAGCGAGGGTGACCGACCCATCGGCCTGGGAGGAGGAGGCCACCCGAGGCCAGGTGACGCCCTTCAGCCTTCCCTCCCACCATGCGGCCTGTCGTGCACTCGTGCCCCCGTTCCAGAGAACTACGATGCGACGTACTTCTTCTCGAACATCTCGGAGTGGGGCCCGCAGGCGGAGGGGTTCATGGAAGCCCAGGCGGAGCAGCGCGATGTCATAGGCTTCGCGGAGATGCACCTGCGAGGCGTGAAGGTCCTGGACTTCACAGAGAAGATCAGCAAAGACGGCTGGAAGGCCGCCGTCACCGCCGCAGTGCCGTCGGGCAGAGCTGCTGAAGGCACGACGGGCGGCGAAGCTATCAGATCCAAGCGTTCACTGGCCACCGCGACGTTCGAGGGGTGGCGCAAGCACGAGATCGAACGGTCCGCAGTCGACCCCTTCCAAGGATTCTGCCCTACGACGTGGCACACGAAGGCTGGCAACATTGTCGTCATCTCCGCGCACATGCAGCCGAAGCACGGCTTCAAGGGCCCCAGCGAGAAGATGATGATCAGGTTAGCCAGCTTCATCAATACGATATCCGACCCGTGGGTTGTCCTCGCCGACTGGAACAACCCACCAGAGGCATGGGATGGAACCAAGTGGCTGCGCAAGATCGGCGGCCAGCTTATCCTCCCAGAGAACACGAAGACCACCTGCAACTTGGGGCGCGGGTCCCTCATTGACTACGGGATCTGCAAGAGCGGTTTCGGCGGCTCCCTCAAGCTCGAAGCCGTCCCCGAGGTCCCCTGGAAGACCCACGTGGGCTTATTGCTTTCCATGCGCGCGGGGAAGCAGCACTGGTGGCACAGAGCTATGTGTATACCCAAGCAGTTCCCGTCGGCGGGACGACCAGCCAAGAAAGCGGACCCGAACAGCAAGCGCCAGAAGTTGCTAGCCGAGCGGCACCAGCGGGCAAAGGCCAGACTCCAGGAGGAGCTACAGGACGCCTACGAAGAGCTCCACAGCTGGCCGATCACGGAGGACATACACAGCAACGACTCGGTCACCTTCGACATACCGATTGAGGCGTGGCACTCGGCAGCCGCCACGGTGGCAGGATTTGGGAGAGGACAAGGGCAAACGCGCGAGGAAGGAGTCGAACGCCGATCAGGACAACTCCCCCTCCTCCCACTTCCTGCTGACCCGTGACACTGAGGCGCAGAAGAAGGTCGCCAAGGCGTTCGGCGACTGGGTGCAGACAGTTAAGAAGGCCACGCTTAAGCACCACAACATTCCCGGGTCCGATTGGAAAAAGTATGAAGGCAGAGCCAGAGAGCATGGGATCACTTGGCGAAGGACCCGTGCCACACCAGCCCGTGCACATATGCGGGGCCCGATCTTGGAATGGTGGCATCTGGCAACGACGATCATATCCAGATATCAGTTAATGAGGCGCAAGTTCGCAGAGCAGGACTACAAGCGCATGGCAATAAAAATGCAGGAGCTGCTACACATTGCCACCGAGAACAACTTCCTTGACAAGTACAACGACCCAGGTGACAAGAGGGCCCTTGAGGACTGGACCAAGGCCATCGCCGACTTAGACGGACAGAACATCGACTCGCTGCAGGCCCTCCTAGAGATCGGCCTGAGGTTTCAAGCCCGTGCTGTGGGTACTGGACTCGCCAACGGCAGGCGGGCTTTTGCAAGCTGGGTCACACGCATGTGGAAGCAGGCTCCAGGTGCGTTACACCGACATGTGAAGCCAGCTACCACTCGACGAGACGAGCACTTCGGTGACGAGGGCAGCACCTACGCCACACCGTGCGAGATCATGGATCGCAGAGCCGACTTCTGGGAGAACATCTGGTCCGACCCCAGCTCCGACCACAGGAGTGTCCTCGATGGCCTCAAGTATGTCACGGAGCAAGCCAAGAGGGAGGACGTGCACCCGATCGAGCTGGAGCAATTGGACCACTTGTTGGCGAAGCAGAACCCGAAGAAGGCCAGAGGAATCGACAACCTCGGCCCGCTGGAGGTGCAACGACTCCCAGATCCAGGACGTAGGCAGATGGTGGAGGTCCTCAATCTTTGCGAGCACCACCTCATGTGGCCCCACCAGATATTCACGGTCATAGGCGCGGTCGCCCCCAAGCCCAAGGGAGGCGACAGGATCCTGGGATTGCTTCCATATACGGTGAAGGTTTGGTCCAAGCTCCGCTACCCGTTGAGCGAGAGGTGGAGCGACAAGCTTGGCGAAGTCTGGGACACGGCCATCAAAGGGAGCAGCCCGCTGCAAGCCTCGCTGGCGAGAGCCTGCATGGACGAGTGCTGCTTCACCATGGGCATCAGTTGTGCGACCATCCTTCTAGATTTGGAGAAGTTCTACGACAGCATCTCCATCGCAAAGCTCTGCCAAGCTGGACTCAGGCAGGGCTTCCCCGCAGTCATTCTCGCGATGGAACTACAGATATTCCTTGCCCCCAGGTACCTCAAGGAGCGCCAGTGGATCAGCAGGCCGATCAAGATCGAGAAGTCACTGGTGGCAGGTTCTCCACACGGCGGCAAATTAGCAAAGGTACTATTGGGCCCCATCCCCCAGCGGGCTCATGACAAGTACCAGTTCAACATCATGATGAAGACTTTCGTGGACGACACGATCATTCGCAGCGAGGGCACGGCCTACAACGTCGAGACCACACTGGTCCAAGCTGGCGCCTCCATCGGCCACGACATGCAACACGAGGGCCTCACGATCAGCCCCAAGACGGTCGCTGTCGCCAGCACGAGCAGTATCGCCAACAAAGTGGCCCGATCACTTCGGAGAAAGGGCATTCGGGCAACCTCGGCCCAGGCTGCCACAGACTTGGGGGCCGACGTCGCATCAGGACGGGCTCGCGCCAGGGCCACAGCACGAAGGAGAATGATGAAGGCTTGCAGACGGTCGGCAGCCATTCACAGAATCAGGAGAATCGCCCGATTAAAGAGAGAATCGCACGGCCTATGGAGTACAGGTGCCATGCCGTCTGGCACTTACTCACATCAGCATCACGGGCTCCCTGAATATGAAGTGCTGCGCCTCCGACGCCAAGCTGCTGCAGCCGCGCCTGGCGTGGGACCAGGAAGATGCTTGACGTCGGCGCTGGCCATCGAGTACGGGGGCGACGACCCTGCCAAGCGCATCAGGCGTCAGCAGATCGCAGCGTGGCTGACCATGTGGCACCAGTGCCCAGGCATCCACGACAGGATTCGGCAATCCTGGGACAAGATCCTCGACCGCATGCGCAAGGCTGGCCAACGCAAGTGGAGGATCGTCCGTGGTCCAGTGGGGGCAACTATTGCCACCCCCCCCCGAGCTCAACTGGGACCCGATCGCGGCGACCCAGTGGGACACGGACGCAGGTAAGAGCTGGCTCATTCCTGCAAGAGAAGACGAGGACTTCAAGAAGATGAATGCGGACTACTCAGAGATCTTCAACGACATCAACAGCTCAGTGGACAGAGTTCTCTGGACTCGGGCTTCGATGCACGAAGCAGGTGATGACCTACACAGTGGAGGCGACTTCAGCACGATCAAGCAGGAGAACCGCCGACTCGCCAGGAGGGAGCAGCACAGCGAGATCGCACTCAACACGGTGGTCACGACAGGCGGCCAGTGGACACGTACGCGAATGGTGGCCGCAGGATACGAAGTCTCCCCCACATGCCCGAGGTGTGGAGAACAGGATGAGTCGCTCTTCCACAGAATATGGGCATGTGCTGCCAACTGCGACCACGACGACTACACGGACAGCGAATTCCTCACCGCACAGGCGTTCGCCAATTTCGAGGCCTCCCCGTCCCTCTGGCTTCGAGGCGTCCCTGCGGCTGCCGACACCATACCTGTCTTCGACGAGACCCCACCCATCACGAACAGCTTCGGAGATCGTTCGACTATCCCACGTGACGAGGAGGGGTTTGCTGAGATCGTTGGAGATGGGTCGGGCGGTGAGCATAGCAGTGACTGGCGCCGCAGACGCGCTGGTTTCGGATTTGTTTCCCTTTCCCCTGGCAGCCTGGACCCGATTTTCGGTTTTTCGTCTTCCCTTGGTGGGAGGGCCCAGACGGTCCCGAGGGCCGAGCTCTCTGCCTGTCTCGCCGCCGTAGAACAGATTCCAGGGAACATCCGATATATGACGGACCACCTGGCCCTGGCCCAGGCCTGGTCCAAAGGAGTTTCGCTCCTCCTCGCTTCTTCGACCCCTCCTGCGAACCTCGACCTTTGGACCAGGATCCTGGAGGCAGCAGGAGACAGAGTAATTCGTGTGGTTTGGATCCCCGCCCATGTCGAGGCTAGGGATGTGAATTCCGAGGAAGCGTTTCGATATGCCGTTGGCAGCGCGTGTGCTGACGCACTCGCGGGCCTAGGCGCCCAAGCGAGCAGGCGCTGCGGCCTCACGAATCCCGACACCGACCGCCGCGATGCCGAGGCTGCCCTGGTCAGACGTCGAGCTCGGAGAGCTCTTGTCGCGAGCATCCTGGCCGATCCGTGGACCGCGTCTCGACCTGAGGCCCCTGGGGTCCTGCGGCTCCCCATCCTGACCAGGAGTCTTCGTGCCAGCGAGCATCAGTGGCGGAAGGTGGGTTCTAAGTTTTTCTGTTCGGTTTGCTCCCAATTCGAGACCAGGGAGTCCATTCGCTCTGGGTGCCTCTCTAGGTGTTGCCCCAAGCCCCGTGGCCAGGGCATCTCACCGCTCCACGGCCCACAGACTGTCGCGGGGAAGTTGCTGTGTGCGAACCACAAGCTTTCCTTCTGGGGCCGTTTTGGTTTAACGTTTTGCACTGTGTGTGGCAAGACCGCCACGTCCGACCCAAGGTGGTTGGTTGAAAGATGCAGGGCCTCCCCCAAGGGTGCGCAAAATCTCGCGAGGATCGCCCGAGGTTTATACCCGCACGTGGGGGGGCCCCCGCAGCATGTCCGAGATGCAGAGATCTCACAATTCGCTTACTAACTCGTCTGGTTTTGCCCAGTTTCGAGGGCCCCGCTGGTGGCGTAAATGGCAATGTGATGCGACGCCCTGCGGGAGGCCGAGAAAAGATCACGAGCGCCATCCAGCGGGGTCCTGATTATATTAGGCGTCGACTGTCGTTGTCGCCCGTCATGCATAGTCCTGCATAGTCCTCCTCCTCCTCCTCCTCCTCCTCCTCCCTCCTCTCCTCCTCCTCCTCCTCCTCCTCCTCCTCCTCCTCCTCCTCCTCCTCTCCTCCTCCTCCTCCTCCTCCTCCTCCTCCTCCTCCTCCTCCCTCCTCCCCCCCCCCCCCCCAGCAGGGAGGAGGGTGAGCACCGGAGCGCGTGTGGCCTCGGGAGCAGCACGCGGCAGCGCGAGGACGGCGGCCGGGCCGCGCGCGCCGCTCCCGGCAGGTACCTGGGCGACGACCCCGAGGGCACCAACCTCCACTACGTGGCGCCCGCCAAGACTGCCAAGACCCCCTGGGGACGGGGGGGCAGGGGTCATTTCGATCCCCCCGATTCGATTAGATTCGATTTCGGTGGCTTCCGATTCCGATCCGATTCGACTCTGGATTCCGATTTGGGCTCCGATTTTTCAATGGAGGCCTGCTAAACTGCCGATTTCCGCCGATTCGACTTTTCCCGATTCGGCTGCCGACTTCCGCCGATCCGATTGAGTTCGGTCGCCGATCCGACTTATCGATTCGATTCTGGGCCTTCCTGGGGGGGGCGCCGAGGAACAAAGCAGGACATAGACATGTTTGTTCAAGCAGTGCCGAAGCGTCCTGGCACGCCTACATCCCCACCAAACGATGCTCCAGGAACCTTTTGTGGTTCCCACGAGATGTTAGTGCATTTCTGGCGGAGTCTGTCTTGGTTTAACACCTCGGGTTCATGTTCTAAGAATCTTGTTTTTGTTCTTAGAACATTGTTGACGCTTCGCGTATCCCCACCAGCCCATCCAGAAACGATGCTCAGGGGAGTTGAGGTGATCAGGGAAGTCGGGGAGCATGCAGAATAACAAAGGGCGGGGGAAGCTGTCACAGACCCCGAGAGGGGGAGGATGGAAGAGGAGTCGTCGTCGTCGTCGTCGTCGGAGGAGGAGGAGGGGGAAGAGGAGGAGGAGGAGGAGGAGGAGGAGGACGGAGAAGGAGGAAGAATCGGA